ACACACACACACACACACACACACACACACACACACACACACACACAAGTGTAGGTAGGCCATCAAAAGAGTTGGGAGGGGGAGAGATGAGGTTGAAAGGAGGAGAAGTAGAGTGGAAACAGAGGAGCGATGATCAAAAACAAAAGCCTGACAGAAAGAGATAAGAGAGAGACAAAGTCATGATGCAGACGTTCGGAGACTCTTCAGAAGTGAGGAGGGTGGGGGGGTGAAAGCCAGCAGACTCAGCAACGGGAAATAACAGCAATCGGGGGATAACAGGTAGAAGTTGAGGGAGGAAAAAAAACAGCTTCAGTCCTCCAAAGTGGGAAGAGAAAGAGACAGGGGAGGCGATGATGGGTAAAGTTAGCGCAGGAAGGCCAGCTCATGAGACGCTCACAGGTTTCTGACATGCAAATGATGGCGCTCATGCCGAATAATGTCAGCTTTCGTTTTCATTTCCAGGGACGCCTTATTCAATATCCTCTTTGAATCAAACAGCAAGTGCAGTTTTTCCAAGAATTTTGAAATCGTGATTTTTATCAATCATAAAGCAAGTGCCCTCAGCAGTCTTCGATATAATTTTATTAATCAAACACCAATTGGTTCTCCCCTCAGATATCGAGCCTATTCCCTCATCTCCTTGACAACAATTATCTCGCTGACTTTATGGCTGAGGGCAAATCTCGGCGGTCTTTGTCATCCCTTTCTCCAATCAATGGTGGCTTTTGGTGAGAGGGGAGGAAGCCACTGCACTGGGTTGGAATGCGTCCAGGTCTCCGTCCGCGATACAGAGAAATGTTACACTTGAGACATGAATCAATGACGGGGACATTTCAAACATGAAAAACAGTAAAAGAGGATTTATTTCTTACACAAATACAAAAATTATCACCATCGTTCATGATGACGATACAAATTGTATACTTGTATACGTCAGCAGGGCAGGAAAATATTACTATAAAATACTGCCGCAACATATTTAAGGAGCATCACAGTAGATGTATTAATAACTAACACATTAAAGATGTAATAATCCCAGTAACCCAAATTCAGTTGGATTTCCTCTCATGCGGAGAAATGTAGCTACTCGACTTCTGAACCAGCAGCAAGCTGAGATTCAAAGAATTATTCAAACTTGGATAGCCTTTAAAACAAGTGTATACAAAATGCTAGAGTACTGCCCCCTCCAATTTAAACATACAGGATTAAGGGGGATTTGATCATCATCATTTCCAATGCTGTCACAGTGCCCACTATCTGAAAGTCCCTTTTGGGAGTTACTGTTTCGCGTCATAGATTTATAATCATGGCCCTCTATTTATAGCTTCAGGTGAGACTTGATAGAGTTGTTCAGATACCGATACCAGTATCGTAAATTCCTACGATACAGCCTGTAATGCTGGATCCCTGATAATGTTACATTGTGAAGAACAAATGTGACATCTTTAGGAGGAGGGCTTGTTAACGTTAGCGGTTAGCAGCCGGTGGGCAGCACAGTCCTGCTTGGCTAAATAACGGAGCCAACGTACATTGAGTTACATTATGATGCGTTTAAGGTCTGTTAAGTAAAAATGAGTATTGGGCGAAGGTAGATTATGACGTTATCGTGATGTATTTAAATTAAATCTTGTAAAAATGTTGGTTTTGACGGATTTTTTTTGAATAAATGCAGTTGTAGAAGGAAATGTTTTCACAGCAATCTAAAATAGATATTATGAGGGAATCTTTTTTTTGTTTTTTTTAAACGCACTGGTATCGGATCAGTACTCGGTATTGGTCAATAGGTAAGTTCAGGTATCGGAACGGTATCTGGCAGGAAGAAAATGGTTTCGATACATCTCTTCTTGTTTATGGCAGCAAATGAAATGTACACACACACACACACACACACACACACACACTCACACAAAGCAGTGCAGACTACACTCGCTGTTTTAAGTGTGTTAATTATTCATGCTGTGGTTCATATACTTGTTCTCTCCACTATCGCCTGTTTGCCTCACGGGAAACACTATCCCACTATTATGGCTCTATTCCAATATAAGCACTGCTACAGTCGAACCTCGGCTACAGCACAAAGTGCTTGAAACGGCATTCATTGATACTAGAGAGAGAGAGCGGGTTGTACAAGTTGTGGCAGAAGATAAAGGGATTGCAAATACACACACACACACACACACACACGCACACACAGGAGGTAGTCTCCCTTTAAGCACCCGTCTTCCAAAGCAGTCAGAAGCAATAGGGCGTTAAGGTTGGCATGACTGATTGTCTCTTGTGTTGCTGTCCATGTTGTTCACTATGATATGCATCCTTAAGCTCCGCACTGGCACCACGGCAACAAAAGACCCACTCACCATCTCGCTGACACACACGCACACATACACGTTGATATTCACACACCTGTGTGCACAGGCTCATTCACACGCACAAGTGACCATCATCGCATTACATGTCAACTTGGATGTCGGTCCAAGAAGTGGTGCTGCACAGCTGATGCCCGTGAGTGTGTGTATGTGTGTGTGTTTGTGTGTGTAACACAGCGAGAATGTCTTCCACATAATTCCTCTTGTGCTGCACCTCAGGGTTCAACAATATGGGTCGTAGTGACGCACGATCACTGTCTCTCAAAAAGAACCAAAAGAGCACAGCAGTAACTGGTTTGTTAGAACTCTCACCTTAAATCTCTGTCTGTTGGAAGCAGTGCTGCTGCCGCTGCTGCACAGTGACCGCTGCCTCCTCCGGGTCTCCGTCTCTAGGAGGATTTGCTCCTGCAGCAGATTCCCATTCTCTGGTTGCGCTGTGGTCTCGGCTCCACTTCTTTCTCTTTTCCCCTATTTGTCTCTTTCAGAGCAAAACCACCTCTCACTTCCGCCGCTCCGCCACTGAGAAGCCCGTCGGCTCTGAGTGAGAATAGAGAGAGAGAGAGAGAGAGAGAGAGAGAGAGAGAGAGAGAGAGAGA